ATTCTCACAATATTTCCAACTTTTTCATTATTACTGTATTTGTCATGGTGATCTGGGATCAATGATCTTTGCTATGACTATGGCAAAAAGACAACAACTCACTGACAGTTAGCATTTTTCAGCAGTGAAGCATTTTTAAGTAACGTATGTACCTTGTGCTTTTAGACATAACACTGTTGCACACTTAGTAGACTACACTATAGTGTAAACAGAACTTTTATATGCACTGGGAGAGCAAAAAATTCGTGTGACTTGCTTTATCGCAGTATTTCCTTTATTGTGGCCATCTGCAACAGAACCAACAGTATCTCCGAGGTATGCCTTGGAGTCCAGACTTGAGGGCACAGAAGATTAAACCTGAGTGGTAGTATTTCAAATGAAAAAACAGAGGTGGACTTGTGAGATATTTAGAAGGAATAAGAAAGAAAAACTGGAAGGTCACTGAACGGAGAGATGGGGCAAATCAAATATTTTTAAGCTCATGAAACTGGCAAAATGACAATACTATGAAAAGAAATCGAACTGTGAATTCTCCAGGGATATCCAGGATTACCAAGTTTGGGGAGGAGAATGAGGGGCCAATAGAAAGAGACACAGTAGTTGCGAAGGATTTGGCCAGTAATTCAAATAAAACATCCAATAGTCAGTTGCAAGTTTGAGACTGCAATTTGTGATGACTCTGGGTCTCTTGAGGACTATTTGCTCTTAGTCTTTGAATTCCCAAGCACCTAGTACAGCTAGACACATAGCTTTTGTGGTTGGCTGGCTAACTGCATAGAGATTTGGGGCCCAAGTGCACAAAGAAAATAAGTTGTGAGTGTGAACGAATACAGACTTTAAGACCAAGGAACAAAGAAAGGAGCCAAGAGAACAAAGTTTGAGAAAAAACTACATTGAAGTAATGGGAGGGAAAAAAGAAACCAATAATCAAGATAGGAAAGGTCAAAGAAGTAAACCCAGACAGAGAAATGGGAAGGGAAGGGAGGGGGAAAACAAGAATAGGATGGAAGGAGTGGGGGGGTGGGGGGTGGGGGGAGAAGAGATGTTACTTATTCATGATTTGAATTCATATATATAGAGACTCAGAAGATGCACCAATGCAAAAATTCTAAAGTCACACTTGGTGAGCAAAAATGAAAATCATTAAAATGTTTCATTAATGACTTAAAGTAAATAAATTAACAGCTCCTGTCACATTGATTCATCCATTGCATGTGGGCACTCAATAAATGTTAATTGAATTAAATTAATAACATTTGCTCAGTGGTAATAAAAAATTAATTTACTGTCTGTCGTCTCTGTTACTTAAGTTTATGCCCATTGCTTCTGCAATTACTTCTAGCCCAAAGAGAAATTTTCTATTTCCCTGACTTTCAGTACACACTTTCTTTCCCAAGAAATACAGTTGAACTTCTAATTTTTGTCCTAATTTTGGTGATTTTTTCCTGTTGAAAAAAATTATTTTCTCTAAGTTAATGTCAAGAACTATGTATAACATCCCAAATTTAGTTTCACGAGTTCCTTATTTAATTCCAAAATAGTTTTCTCTGCAGAAGATGTGATACCACTTTTTATGTGTTTCTCCTTTTAGCTTATGCTACTTTATAATACTTTGGGTACAAAGTCAAATAACACCACAAAAGAAGGAATCTGGGGAAATTACTGTTAGCATTCCATCTATAAAAGATGGAAGATGTCAGTAACATTCACCCAAAAATTGTCACTCATTTCAGATGTCAGAATTCTGGGTTGAACAGACTGGGTTCTGAAATGTGTGTTTGTCAGACGATTTTCTAATGAGTAACAGATAGTTCCCAGTGGGGAATGAAAAAAAAATAAAAATATAAACAGAGATTATAGAATTAAAATAACTTTATGAATGGCAGTTTAACTTCTCCATAAAATTCTCTCAGTACAAGCCCAGTGTCTCCAAATGGTTGCTTAATGTAGCACACCACTTAGATTCAAAATGCTATACTTAAAAGTGTCGAGAAATTAAAAAGAGAATCATATACCACTTGGCTGTATACTGTATTCTCCGCATGTTCTTATATTCCAGTAACCTCTATCCAACTTTTTTTTTGTTACTGAATTACTTTGTGCAAAAGCAATTTACATCACATGCAGCCTGACTACGTGTGATAATTTGAACGGACTGGCAATTAATTCTGTAGCAAATAGCTGCTGTAATCTCTATACTCATCAAGGTTTTCTTATCTATCAACTCTTCCTGAAATGCTCTTTAATGTACGGGATACAGCAGCTGTAACTAAAGAGGCAGGATTCCCTAAGTGTGCAAGAAAGTAGTCTTAGCTTTGCAAAGACTGCTTAGGTATGTCTGTAAAGCAACGTTATTTGCAAGGCTTGATTTCAGGTAGGTGACACATCACGGGATTGACAGTGAAGAGGGTTTTGCTGATGTGCAGTCCCAATAGTGAGGAAGCAGAGATAAAAGCTAAGAACAAATTGGAGAAAATGTTGAATAATATAAAGAGACAGGGACAAGAGCAAAGCTTCTGGAATCCAAACAGCCTGGGTTCAAATCCCAGCTCTACCATTTACTAACAAGGAAGCCTCAGGGAACTTATCTAAATAAACTAAGCCTTGGTTACACTCATTCATCTGTTAACTTGGGGTACCAATTTATACATTTCCCATCTGTCCTGGGAGGCTGCCAGTATTACCTCCTAGAGTCTTTGTGATGCTTAAATTAAATAAGGTACATAGTGGTAACACAGAACTTGACACACAAGGTATACAATTCTGTGTGCTGTGTGTGTGTGTGTGTGTGTGTGTGTGTGTGCGTGCGTGTGCGTGTATAAAGCAGTGGTTTGATATTCAAAATTGGTGGTTTTGCCCCATGGAGGAAATGTGGCAATATCCACAGACCTTTTGTTTGTCATGTCCTAGGGCAACTGGTGTTACTGGCATCAAGTAGGTAGAAGACAGGGATGCTGCTAAACATCCTACAATCTCCCTGTGACAAAGAATTATCTGGCCCCAAATATCAGTGCTTCTCTAAGTACTGAAGGCATAATTTGAATGACTATTTGTGATTAAAGCTGGTTACTTGACACTTTGGTATCCAAGCAAGAAAAATAAACTATGATTTTTGTCATCATCGTCATAATCATCGTTATCATCACTATACCATTAATTTGGTGAATCTCTCTTGGGTTAAAGGAACCCAAGAGCTTCCCAATCTGTTGAACTAATTCTATCTATTCAATATTACATTAACTGCTATCAACAATAGATGTTTTTCTGAACCCCTATTTCTGCAACCAAGAGATTTAAAGCTAGCAGCCTAAGAGGTAGGGAATAAAAATTAAACACTGTTGAAAGCCAAAGCTGTTTGGAGGCTCAGAAAGCAACAAAAATGGCCTAAGACAATTGTGCGTGCAATACTGTCAGCTCTCGTGCCAGTTAGGAGCCTTTGGAGAGCAACTGCCTCGTGATTAGCTTATGAAAATCACTGATGTATGTATCAGTGGCTGTCCTCTCCTTTCTCCACTCTCAAAAGCAGAAGGCCCCTGTGGCAGTGGTTCCCAAACTTTTCTGCATGTTGGAATCACTCAGGGAGCTTTGAAAATCCCTCAGGAAATGTGATCTAATCTGTTGAGGGGGAGGAGGGATTGCCTGAGCTTTAAAAAAATTCCAAATTTTTAGAAGGTTTCCTAGATGATTCTACCCTGTAGACACATCTACCACTGTCCTAGGAGGCAGGATCAAGCAGAGATTTCCATCTACCTCAAACTAAGAAGCAATTTCTGGAAGGACAATGAAAACGGACTTGGCAAGAATGTATTTCTTGCACAGAGCTGCCTAAGCACAGTAAAATTAAACCAGGTTGCCAACTGCTTTATTGATTTCAGTCACTCTGTGAGCATCACTGAATCAGGCATTGGGCTAGTGACGGAAAAGGCAATTCTCTAGAAGGCATCTTCACTATCTCCCAATAGTGCTGCCAAATCACCAGGACTGATGCTTGTTTAGGTCTGAAGAAGTCCCTGGGTGTCATCCTGGATGCAGGTTTGAGAATACCTTCTGTTAACTCTTCTCTCCATCTTAGGATGATTTAATTGGTGTAGGTAAGCTATACACTGCCTGCATCACTACCCCGTCTGGATGTTTCTGAAAGCCAGGGACCATGCCTGTCTTAGTCAGCACTTAATCCTCAGTTTCGAGACCAGTGCTTGTTATGTAACAGACCCTCAATTATTCTGCGGGAACCAGTAAATGAGTATGGGAGTTCTGAAATACACGAAGCACCTAGGTCTTTTCAGCCTTCTCTGTGCCTCTCCAAACCAGAATTTCAGTTAAGGACTTTGCTCTAGGTTCCCTGCCAGGTGGTTACATGGAAATAAAAGCCTGTTCCCAAGAAGTACACCCCCAAAGCCACAAAGACTATCACCTTCATAGACACCTAACAAATGGCAAGGCAGAGAAAAGACTGGCAAAGTAAGAGTCTTTAAGGGCAGATGTAGAAATGGGCTTATAGGATGGTTATGTGTGACCACTTTTCTTATACAGGGCAGGAAACTGAGGTTTGCAGACACAAAGAAATAAAACAACTTGACTGAGATCACATACATTACTTAACAGCATTTAAGACACTTCTACTACTTCTGAGATCCATAAAACATTATGACAATAAGCTGACAACATTCTATGAGGTTTTGTTAATCCTAGTGAATGAATGCCTTGATTCTCCCCACCCATCACTATAAAAATCACTGTGTTTCTGAAATAAGTGGTACAAATTACTGTGATAGGTTAAACTTGTAATATGGGTAAGATTTTATAATTACTGCACTTTTATTCTTACATATATTTTCATTCAAGATAATCCTGTCCAATAATGCTTCATGCTTCTAAATAAGATTTTAATCTTATAAAAGCCTAGAATGTGAATTTTTCTGCCAACGTCCCTTCTTGGATCGGGAGGTCACGTCAACTATAAGCGGGTCTGTGTATGTGTGTTTTCTTTTTTCCTCTAGATACGCAACTCACAAACGGAAAGCAGGCAGACGAGAAAGCCATTAATACCATTGTTATAAACTCAGTATCCGAATTCAAAATCACAGATGGACAAGCCAAGGAAACCCCCAGTGAGAAAAAACTGTCAGAATCCAGCATATCACTGACCTCCCTTGAAGAATGCCAAACGAAATTTTCCTACCTCCAAACTCATCCTTCAGTTCATCCAAGAGACACTGATGGTATGTTTCTCACAATCAACCCATCTCTAAATAAAGCTCCCCAAACCCCAGCCCCTGGAAAACCATCATATATGCTGTTAGAAAAAAAAAAAGTCTTCATGAATATTAAACAGGAAGGCTTCAATTTGAAAACTCTGATGAATGACACATGTCAAGGTCACCTGGCAATTATGAGGTGCTTGGCAGGTTGTTTGCTCTCAAAGCTGGAAGTTTGAGGCAAAGTGTTTTAAATAGCTAGAGTGAGGTAAAATCATTCTTGCTATGGAGCTATGAAGTAGACTAAAAAATGGCCAATTTTTTTCTCTTCTTGCATCTGGGACTATTCAACCCGCGACTCTAGGCTGAGAGGAGAAGAAGATAGGGTGGAATAGCATTGCAAAGCTGGAAAAGTATAAATATAGACTGCAGCAAAATACAAGGATGCTTACGCCAGCAGCCTGTGGAAAAGGGTTGGTTCCTCTAGGTAACATCACCTCCTAGGCATTCGAATCAGTGCAAAGCTACACCAAGCCACCTCTATATATGACATAAGAGGCCTGTTGCATTTGCAAAACCAATTGCAAAACTGAATTTATGCTAAATGATCAGCACAGTCAAGTTCAAGGTCATGGACTCCACACCAAGACATATGGAATTTTACTCATGTTAACTTTGCACTGACCTTCATAGAAGACATAAACCACTCAGGAATTGTGTAATGTTCCATAGTGACATTTGCATTTAAAGAAACCTTGAAGTTTCTCAAAGGAAAACATAAAAAGGTACAGTTTCTGGTCCATATTTAAATTCATATTTACTTTTTTAAAATAAGATAAAAAAGTGAAATAAACTTTGCATAACAGGAACTTTGAAATCACATCAGTTTAATTCCTGGCTCTGAAATTTATTCACTGTAAGACTGGATTAAGTTTTTTACCATCTCTAAATCTCAGACTCAGTTATATAATGGAGCTAGTAACACGCAATAGGGTGTTTTGAAGATCAAATGAAATAACATGGGTAAAACATCCAGTAGACAACTTCTCACAGAACAGATGTTCAACTTCTGCTTTTATTATGATTATGGTTTTAAAAAGTAAGGGGAGAGATTTCTAACACACGTTATATATGATCTCGTGAAAACATTGCCATGGAGGCTTTAGACTAGAAGACACAATTGCCTGCAGTTGCCAGGAGACAGTGCAAATAAGAAGTACCTCCAGATGTATGATAGGGATGGGTGAGGACTGTGGCAAGGAGAAGAACACTGCCTCTACTCAGCTCCAGCTAATTGTTGCCAGAAGGAAAAAGAGGTTCAGACCTGCCAGAACTAGAGTGTTACAGGAAATCTCCCAATTTTTAAGTGTTGGCAATAGTTCTATTTCTTCTATGAAGCCCCAGACACTCCCAACAATACACAGCTTTCAGCTAACTTTGGCCAGTAGGCTGCCAGGCATGACCTTGAGTCCAAGATGATGTCCAAGTTTCTGGTTTTGTTAGAGCTTGATGCTAATCAAGAAAACAGGCAAGGGCTTCCCTGGTGGCGCAGTGGTTGAGAGTCCGCCTGCCAATGCAGGGGACACGGGTTCGTGCCCTGGTCCGGGAAGATCCCACATGCCGCGGAGCGGCTGGGCCCGTGAGCCATGGCCGCTGAGCCTGCGCATCCGGAGCCTGTGCTCCGCAACGGGAGAGGCCACAACAGTGAGAGGCCCGCGTACTGCAAAAAAAAAAAAAAGAAAAAACAGGCAACAGAGGAGAGTTCTCTACATTTTGACAATAGAGAATTTTATCAGATCATGTAAGGGATGCATGGATTTTTACTTGTAATGGATCTTGGTTGTAATGATCCCAGAATTACGAATTACCATTATATGTATCCACACAATACAGGAGGGTGCCCCTCCGGAACCACTCTGATCTGTCTTATCAGGTATCTTGGCAGAATGAGAAGGACCAATGCAGCTAGCATGATACCTGAACCCTTGTATTCTCAGGGAAGACCAAAATGACTACTCCATTAAAATGGCAACACATACTCAAGAGCCTCATGTAGGAAAAGAACCAACTACTCTTTCTTCAAAAGGGCAAAGGAGATTCATGAAGACCATTGAATTAGACTGGTTTCTTAGGCCCTGGACAGTGGCTATTATGACCCAGAAAATTCCAGTATTAAGCTGACAACACAGGTAATAGCTCATCCTCATTTCTCACACTGCAAAAAAAAAAAAAAAAAATCCCCCCACTAAGGTAAGAGTTTTTGGTACCTGGTTAAAAAAGAGAGTAAAACACCTAGACTAGGGCCCACAAATAGTGCTAAGAACCTCTCATTATCCTAGATAGCAAACATCAAGGAAATAAAGAGTTAAGTCAGACTCATTGCATTTTAGGAAATTTTTGATAGTAATTAATTTAAGGATGCAGAAATTGAGAGCTGGGGTCACTGTTCATACTGAGATAAATACAGAAATATCTTTCAGGAACAGCAGGGGAAACAGAAGGGAAAAGAGAAGATTGCATCCACTTTTATGTAGTTTGTGGTTAATTTATTTTCAAATATATAAATGAGTGCATAGGAATGGATGCTTAATTGCTAATATCTATTATTTATATACATTGCCCCACTTAAAACAGGATGGAGAAGCCTCACACATGCAGATTTTGTAAAATGTGTTACATCCATTAGCACAGTTCATGGTGTGTGCTCTGATGGGAATTTAAAATGATCTTTACTGCACATCACACACTATGTGCTGCGACATTATTATTAAATTGTGCCTCATCCTGTGTGGTCCCTTTCCTGAAGAAAATGGAACAAGTACAGAGCACTATCTGTGTCTCTGCTTCTGCTTCTATGTTCAGATTGCAAAAGCATCCCCGTGGATGATAAAACCAGGGATACACATGATATGAGAAAACAGCCTCCTTAAAAAGAATCTTGAGAATAAACCTAATTGATGTATAATTTTGAATTTGAGATGTCTCATCCAGGTGGAAGGGGAAAATCATAAATACAAGATACCTCAAAAGAACAGTCTTAATTACACCATGGACTACTGAATAAAATGATTACATTTTCTACACTGTAAATTTCATACAAGTAAATGCAATAGTGTCATCTTATAAAATGTTTCAATTTTATAATTATTTCAGTTCATTTGCTCAGAAAAAAACATAAGCAAAAATTTACTAAGTATCACCCAAATCTAGTCATTCTAGTTCTAAAGAACTGACTTGAATGTTAGTTGTGCTTGTCTGAACTTAAATAGATCTTGACATATTTAAGTAGCTATTAAAATTGATAACATCAGGAATGATACCCCAGCTAGAGAAAGGCAGTCACACTTTATTTATTCCCATTCTGTATTACATTTTTTTAAAGAACTAAATGTTGGGGGGGTGGGAACGAATTTTTATACTTTTTTGGTTTATTTATTTATTTATTTGGCTGCACTGCGTCTTTGTTGCTGCGTGCGGGCTTTCTCTAGTTGCGGAGAGCGGGGCTACTCTTCCTTGCGGTGCGCGGGCTTCTCATTGTGGCGGCTTCTCTTGTTGCGGAGCATGGGCTCTAGGTGCTCTAGGTGCATGGGCGTTGCAGAACGCGGGCTCAGTAGTTGCAGCTCACGGGCTCTAGAGCGCAGGCTCAGTAGTTGTGGCTCATGCGCTTAGTTGCTCCGCGGCATGTGGGATCTTCCCAGACCAGGGCTCAAACCCGTGTCCCCTGCATTGGCAGGCGGATTCTTAATCACTGCACCACCAGGGAAGTCCCAATTTTGATACTCTTTGACCAAAAACTTTTAGTGATCAGTTGGAGACAGGTGTCATGAATCTTGTTATTATGCCAAATTCTCTCAGGGACAGCACATTAACCATTAACGTATGAGAATACTGGGGGTATCTTGTCTTTTTTTTTCTTACTTTGTTTTGGCGGGAGAGGAAGGGAGACTGTTGTTTATCTGGGGTCACTTCTGGAAGAATCATGTTCTTGCCACTTTGGAAAACGATTCCCAAAGATGCAGGAAGCATGTTTCTGGAGTTGAGGAATGCGCCAGGGACCGCAGAGGGCAGCTACAGCTACCTCTTGTTCCTCCCTCCTCCTGATCCTGGGGAATCATGGTGGCAAGAACACTGAAAGCTGGAAAGACAAACTCAGGGATTACAGGACCGTGAACGTGGGGCCGACCTCAGGTATATGAGTGGAAACTCCTTCGCACTCTTACCTTTTCCACCATGATTAAACATGATCCATTCTTATGAGGCAGATTCTTCCTCTCTTTATTACCCTCTTTTTTGTTCTTTTTTAAATTGAAGTATACTTGATTTACAATATTGTGTTACTTTCAGGTGTACGGCATAGTGGTTCAGTATTTTTGTAGATTATATCCCATTATAGGTTATTACAAGTTAATGGGTATAATTCTCTATGCTGTACAGTATATTCTTGTTGCTTATCTATTTTATACATAGTAGTTTGTATCTGTGAAGCCCATACCTCTAATTTGTGGCCCCCTTCCATCACCCCTTTGGTAACCACATTAAGATGTGGTATACATATACAAGGGAATATTACTCAGCCATAAAAAAGAATGAAATACTTCCACTTGCAGCAGCGTGGATTATCCTAGAGAATATTCTGCTTAGTGAAGTAAATCAGACAGAGAAAGACAAACACTATATAAGTAGCCACTATCCAGTTAACATATAGCACCTTTAGAAGCTGCAGTAGTCCTTCAGGGTCGTGAGGTTATCACTTAGCATGTTATAGCCTCCACATCCTCAATGTACCCTAGGGGTGTAAAGAGGAAATGGAACCAACTTAAGAGAGGGTTTTTATCATGGCTTCTTGCTCAAAGGCAAATACCACTTCCAGCTGAATGGCCTGCAGGTCTTGGATACATCTTAAACCTCCTTTAATCCAGGTTTAAGGAAGGAAGAAGTAGGAAATGAGATGGGTACTATGACAGCAGAAACTAGAGCCTATGCCATGATGCCAGGTAGTCCAATAAAAGAAATTTAATACTTGG